TAAAATGCAATAGAGACAAATACATAAGCATCCTAATCCCATCAAAGTAACCAGACATATTGCTCTATTAAAAGCATCCTCTCATCTATTTCATATGGTTGCTGCAACACCATTCAGATGACCATCTCTGCTCACCCAAAAATTCCTGCCCTTTTATTTCTGAAATTGCACCAAGCCAAGAGAGAACGCCACAGCCATAAGCACCATAGTGGCCAGTGACGCCTTTACCCGACACTGTAGCCACCAGCCGCACATGTGCAGCAAGTCGCATTATAACAAACCTTTAGTGTGAAATGCTGATAACGTTTGATATTAGATGTCAAATACAAATGTACACATATAAGTATGATAATGAATGAGGAATTGTCCCATTAAAACAGATTAGATAGATAAAGACTCCACGAAATTCAAATCAGCTTACAAAAATGGGAGGTTGTCTATTCAATAACTGAATTGCATTCTCTCTTCATTCAGGAAAATGTCAGATTTAATTGTTTTTCCTCTGAGCTTCAAAACAGCAGTAAACACAATTTATTAATGGCATCCATAATATTTGACCACTCCTGTTTACTTCCATATAAATAATATAATCATTTCAGAAAGTTGTAATACAAAAGAAAGTATTGCCCTCCACAAACTCAAATAGCTTTTGTTATTTATATAGTAGTTCCTTCTTTTTTTCCAGTTATACCTTATTATTTTCCTTTAAATGAAACTGCCATTGAAAATAACTCCCTCGGGATGGATTCTGTATGTAACTTGCTTCAGCATCTAAAGTTAGCTATTCCATCTGAAGCAGTAGTTTATTGGTATTTTTAAAAAAAGGAATAAAAGGGTATAGTAGAACTGAAAAAGAGATGTAGTTTTGTCAAAATTTCTTCACTTCTTTCTCCTATAGGTTAATATGTCTCAAGTGGCCTGCTGAGATTCATTGAAAGTCCCTGGTACTGCCTTTTCAAACAGCTAGCTCCAGGTCTTTTTTGTCAGAAAACAGTGGGGTTTACTCATCCCCCCTCCCCTGAGCCCCCCATATCTCCACCCCTCCCCACTTCCCAGCAAGAACCTCTTTTAGCGAATACAGAACCAAGCATTATTTTGTGGTGATATATAAGTGGTGTGGTAGTATATAAGTAGGTTTAATGGAATAATAAAAATAAATGTGAAATATATAGAACTTTCTAAAGTAATATCAAGGGGCACTTCCAGTTACCAAAATAAAAATCCCCAGTACTAGTGTTAGTGCCAATGAACACAGTAATAACCCCCAGCATTGGTGTAAATTTCTGTAATAATATTTCATAACATTGGTGCCAGTGCCTGTAATATTACCTCCCTCCCCCCCATTGTTGCCAGTGACTGAAATAAAAAAAACCCAGAAATGCTGCCTCTCAGGGACACTATTAATAATCATAGGAGCCTCCTACAGCCTACCTGAAAGAGTACCCTCCCTCCAAGCCCCCTGATACCTGTGATTCAGCATCAAATAGAGTAGTTTTTTTGGAGTAGAAGAACACCTAGTGCCATATTTGCTGAATAGCCACATGCTTTCCCCAATGTAGGCTGTGTGTCCAAGAGGATTCTGGCAAGCCCACTTTTAACACAGCCCATAGAGGAACTCTCACCAGGTTATGCTCCTTGCTGCACTCTGAGTCCCCATTACCTTGTCTTTTGCTCTCAGAGTTCCTAAGCGGGTTCTCTTTAGCTGGCCAGTTTCAATAAGCCTTTAGTCCTCATGCCATCCCATGCAAGCAGATCTAGCATCTCAACAGCCAGGTTGGAAAGCAGTGGCACCTCTGGGATCATCATCATGAGTTGGGGTTTAATGTGGCCCTGATAGCTTCCTCTATTTAACTATTCTAAAACCATCCCATTGTGCCAAATTCTGCTGACAATTCATTTCTTCCTCCTTGACTTCTGCCTATCCCACTCTGTAGAGCAGTGAAATTTGAAGTATAGCTGCATGTCCTCTGCAATCAGTTGCTTCCTACTGCTGCTTAGGTTTGGAGAGATGGGGCTTCCCTGAATCCCCCAGTGTGGTTCACCCAGAGACACTCATTATCTCTGTGGGAATCATCTCAAATGTGTCATGGTAGGGTGATTTCAGACAGAAAGCTACACAGGACTGATTGCTGACAGGATCAGATACTGGTACACAATATCAAAGTGTTCTGGCTGAAAAAAGACCAGGTTAGTTCTAAGCATCACAACATTAACCATGATTAATCAAATTGCACTTGTTAAACAGCATTTAAAGAAGTCGGAAATGACTGCAATAATATGGGTTAAGGGACCACTTAGAACACTTACCTCCTGACACCCACATCACTGAACACTGCTGAGTTGCTAAGAAATGGTTCCCCTGAAATTCACAGCTCTCTCTGGTTCCTCCTTCTGACCTTCATGTCATGTTTAAGTTCTATTATAACCAGATAAAAGCTATACACAGTAAACAGTATAAAAACTGTCTAGCAATCAATGAATTTAGCCAACACAGTAAACCTAACTATAAACTGTTTATAACATTTAAATTATAGAGACTTTGGTTACAAACAGTTGCAATAATTTGAGAAGCCACAATTCCACATCAAAGTATGTAAAGCTGAGTTCTACTCTAATCTATATACTATACATATACATGACAATTGTTAAATTACAAAAAGCTTAGTAAATTGTCTGCAAAATGTCACTGAAGTTACCCAGATGTGTCCTCACTTACCTACAGATATATTCATTAGATGCAAAAGTCTAATAGGCATATTCCAACAGTTCTCTGTGCTTCCTGATGGGTGCACCATGGGAGGCAGGAGGGCTCAAGGTCATCATGAGGCTGGACTGGAAAGTGCTGATACAAAACTCTGGGTCTCTAGGGATATATTAATATCTTAATATAATACTGAAGGCCACCAAATACTGCAAAACCAGAAAGTGGCAACTATCAAATCCAGCTTATAAATAGCAGAGGAAACAATTCTGGCTTTTTGGGTGTCAATGAACCCTTAAAAAAAGAAAGGGAATTTACCAATTAAAATGGATATTTTATTTATCCATTGCTATATAATATATAACCCCATTTGGGTATTCTTTTAGATTAGAGTAGGACCAAACTTTACTTAAGTGCCTTGGAGTTGTGATAACCAGTTCATTTATGTATGTTGCTCAGCATGCAGCCTGCTTCAGGACTCTGAAGCTGGCAAAGCACACTAAAAATCAATAAAAGTTATTTACAAAAAAAAAAAAAAAAGCCAGAAAGAGTGCTCAGTCCTGTGACATATCAAAGTTATATGACCAGTCCTCCTCCAATTATAAAGCTCTTTCTGTCTCATGGGGCTGGGCTGGAAACACAATGCTTCCTGGTTTTTATGAATGGGTGTGTGTGTGCAATGGAAAGCACATATCTTCCCTCCATTATAAATGAGCTCCTTAATGTTACAGACATTTTATATTCTGTTTACTGGGGGGTGGGGGGGGGGACGCCCAGAAGGATTTTCACCTTAACCGCTTCCCAACTAGATTGAGTTCTAGGAAATTATTACATAGGCAGCTAGTTGCAATTAAATTATTTGATTACTATTTTTCTACATCATAATGCAGTCACTAAAATTGTTGCATTGTTTTTTCTGTAAATGTATTTTGATTTAAAAAAACAAAAAACATTGAATTGAATTGTGCAGTTTGGCTGGAAAAGTGGACCGGGATGTGCAAGTAAGCCTTAGCTGAGAGTTTGTGCAATTAGACTGTGGGGCAATAAATACATACAAAAACCAAAGTGAAATGAATACCTAAAAAATAATAAAAGTGAGTATGAGAGATGCATAAAAATCTTTTTTGCAATGTTGGCAAAAAGCCTTTTTCACACTTAAAGCTGAGCACCAGGCAGATATGAAAGACATATATTAACTAGTACTTTGGGGTATCACTCAAAGTTAAAGTGATTCGAAATGTTGTAATTTAAAGGGTAACTCCACTTTCGTGAAAACAAATTAGCAAATAAGAAAATAAATATAGCATATACAATTGCAACACAAATCATATTGTAATTGAATGTTAATAAAAAAATACCTTTCCTTTTCAATCTATAGGGCTGCAATGAAAAAAATGCAATGCAATATGGCTACCTAGAGGTGTTCTGTACATAGATGGTGTACAGAACACTCCCCAGATATGTCATTTCTTGCTTGTGTAATTGGCTTACTGATTTTCCCAGATGTTTGCACTAAGATAAAAGTCACATTTTGGGCATCCACTGCAACAAAAAATAAATTTTTGGTGAGATAGTTCCAAAAGAAATAACATGTAAAGGGCTGCCGATCCTGCAGTTTTCCTCATTAGAGCCCTGCACGTGCAGCAGCTGATAATTATGAAACCACTTCCATACAGATTCACTTAGCTCATGGACACAGACAAACAGCTACTCCTTCAGAATAACAGAAGATAAGAATTTGCAGCAAAGTTTGTTAAAATCCCTGCAATGTATATAGATCACCCAGAAGGAAATATTTTTTTCTCAGCAAAAGTGGAGTTACTCTTTAAAAAAAAAAAAAGAAAAAACAAACAGGCAATGGTTTTACACAGAGCAGTCATGAGCCTCTTTTTTTTGGGTCCCCCCCCTGGCCCTGGCTCCCCCCTCCCCCGAATGCCCCCAATACCAAGATTCTTGATTGGACAGTGAATATTAACACACAGAGTGTGGCTTGGCCACAGCCCTCGGCTGTCTCCTCATTGATTCGCTGTCTGTGATTGACAGCTGCAGGAGCCAATGGCTCCCACTGCTGTGAGAGCCAATGAGGAGTGGGAAACTCAGGAGAGCCACTGCTCTCATGCACATTGCTGAATCAAGATGGGGCTCAGGTAAGCGTGGGGATGCCCGGAAGGAATTTTACCTTAACAGCTTCCCGACTGCCCTATAGCAGAACTACTGCTACAGGGTGGCAGGGCTGTGCAAAATCACGTATATATACATGATCTTGCATGTTCACCATTGGCAGCTACAGCTGTCATTCACCGGGTCCCGGCTGGAGATTCCCCGCCACGCCTGGCAATCGCCGAGGAACACTGACGAGGGAGAGGTTTGTATGTAAACAATACAGATCTCTCCCCTGTCAGCACCGGTATGCTGCCTTGTATTGCGTAGCAGAGCAATACAAAACAGCATGCCTCCCTAGTAAGACACAGCACACAGTAAAACACACAGAGCACACAGGTAACCCTTTGATCGCCCCATATGTTAACCTTTTCCTGCCCAGTGTCATTAGTACAGTGTCAGTGCTTTTTATTAGCAATGATCACTGTATTAGTGTAACTGGGGATATCAGTGGCAGTTAGTCAGTCCCCCCCAGTGTCAGAATGCCCACCGCAGCCTCGCTATAAGTCACCGATCACCACCATTACTAGTATAAAAAGAATACAATTCAGTATACAGTATATACTGCCATTTGTAGATGATATAGCTTTCACGGAAACCAATTAATTTTCACGTATTGGGATTTTGTTTTAGCAAAGACATGTAGCAGAATACATTTTGGCATAAATTATGATGATATGTTTTATAGCAAAAAGTAAAAAATATCGTTTTTTTTTTTCAAAATTGTCTTTTTTGTTTATATCGCAAAAACTAAAAAAAATCACAGAGGCAATCAAATACCACTAAAAGAAAGCTCCATTTGTGGGGGGAAAAAATGACAAATTTAATTTGGGTGCAGTGTTGCATGACTTCGCAATTGTCAGTTAAAGTAACGCAGCACTGGATCGCAAAATATGCCCTTGTCAGGAAGGGGGGTAAATCCTCTAAAGGGCAAGTGATTAATGCATAGAATGCATTAAGGCAGGAGTGGGCAACTGTGGCCCTCCAGCTGTTGTAGAACTACAAGTCCCATGAGGCATTGCAAAACTGACAGTTACAAGCATGACTCCCAAAGGCAGAGACATGGTGGGACTTGTAGTTTACCAACAGCTGGAGGGCCACAGTTGCCCACTCCTGCATTAAGGTAAAAAAAGCCTTCTGCCTTTGGAACCACTTTGATGGCACCACAACATACTTTGCTGCGTGTGCTGCCATGTGTCATGGTTACAGTTTGAGCCTCACCATGTGCAGAGATTTATCAGTTTAAGGGACAACAATCTGAGTGCTATCAGACTTAGAATGATTGTCACTGAAGCAAATTACTTTTTCAGTTAGTGATTTACACATACACTGTTGACACCATCATTTATTTTAACAGAAACATGCACCGTTCATAATAAATGCTTTTTCAATTCAAACCATTTAAAGGAAATGTTTGTATCGTGTTTCTGTGCCCAAACAGGAAGTTTATAAAGTTTACAACATGATAACTTTTGACATTAACAGTGAAAAGTACTCAGCAAAGTTTGCCTGGTCTTTAGTTTCATGCAGAGCCGAATTCATTCACATAGTATTTCCAAGGTGTATCAGAGTCACTGGCTCTCAAGAACCTGACTCTCTCAGTATCCTTAGCAGCTTTCAATATCAAAACAGAGCTGCAGAGCTGCAAATAAAGGTGTTAAACAAAGTACAGTAACCCACAGCAACCACCCATAACCTCTGTTAAGTATGACATGTACAAGGCTACTCCTGATTGCTTTCTATGTGATGTACCTTTATCTTATCATTTCTGGTTCCTGGAGGGGACATTTTTGCAGACATAACACAACCAACCAAAGGATATGAGGGGTGTTGGATTTATTATGCTTTACAGATACATCTTTAATACAGATTTTTCTATATGCATCTACATTTACATATTACAAGGTTTTACTATATCTAACAACCAACATATTGCTGCACAGAATGCAATTACAATTAGTTAAAGATTAAATATGATAAAAATCAAATGCATATATCACTTAGGAGATCTAATGTGTTCCATTAGCCTGCAGAACCTTGTAATACAGATGTATTTGCTGTATAACTGATGTGTTATTTTTTTATACATTAGTGTAACTGCATTTTACTACATGTATGTAACTTTATTACAGCAAGAATGATAAATTATGTAAAGGGTTTTGTTTTGACAGACTCAGGATGTGTATTTAATAAACTATAATAAAGACTATTTTACTACTGTGCCATTAAGAATTTTTAGCATAATCGGAGATGATGACTCTGTTGCATCCTTTTCTAGCTGATCTGTTTTGTCTATGTGTCTTAAGCTGGTTATTTTCATTTGTCGATGTATTGCCACCCATAAATGCCTGGTAGCAGGGGTGGACTGACAACTCATGGGGCCCCCGGCAATAGGGGATCATTGGGCCCCTTTGTCCTTGCCCAAACTCAAAAAAGCCTTTAAAAAAGGTACCAGGGGCATCTCATGGGGCCCCCTACTGACCCCGGGCCCTCGGGCAGTGCCCGAGTTTTCAAATGGTCAGTCCACCCCTGCCTGGTAGGGACATAATATTTAAATCTGATCATTTTGTTATCTCCTTGTGAATTGTGGAAATGAGAGTGGCGTTGTATTCAGTTTGGGATTTGTCATTATTGCCACACCATGCATTGTGGTAAAGTATATTTTACCACGAGTTACTGCAACCCCTGTAAATACAAACAAGCCTTACAAGAGAAGTATTGGCTATATAAAAAAAAAGCAGACTGTCAGTCTCCGGCTCTATGCTCTTCCCCCCCCCCCCCCCGCCCAGCATGAGTGATCGCTGGGCTGTGGAGGGGGCAGGAAGGGTTGGCTCAGACTCTCGACAGATCTCTGAGAGGCTGAGCCAGGTGGTGGTCCAGGGTTCTGGGTGGATCCCAACCATATGGACCGGCTCTGTGATGTCATCCAACAGCAGGCTTCAGTCTGCTGTCAAATGAAAATGGGTCACAGGAGTGCAGAACTAAATGGACTCCTGTGATACGTAGAAGTATAGCCCAAAAAGCTTTGGCTATACATCTCCTTTAATGTATCCTTTATTTGTATGTTTTTAATGCAACTAAAGTAAGTACCAGAATTAATTTGATTTCAGCTTCTTGAACTGTACAAGAGAGAGTGGGATAAAGAGAGGTAGGACTGGGAGTCAACGAGTCAACCAGGTGTGCCGTATGTAAATGTGTTGACAAAGACAATGCTGGTAAAAGGAGAGAACAGAGTGAGCAAAGAGATGACCTTATCAGTCTGCATCTGCTCTTTTATTAGTTACATAGAAGGCTAAGGGTAGGAAGATGGCACCAATATTCTTTAGCTGTACGTTGTGTCATCCACCCTGTTGAGCTATGTGAAAGAGCTGTATAAATCTCAGATATGAAGGTAGAAACGTTTGCCTAGATGTTAGCTTTAATGGAGCCACGGTGACATTATTGTCAAGGATTCATTACTCACTTAAGATGCACAATAGTGCTCAGCTCAGTGAATACCCTCTCTGTCTTAACTGCTCACATTACATTTATGTTCTACAGCATTGATTCTTTACAATAACTGCCACCTCTGTGTGGTGCATCTGACTATATAATCAATGTAGTCAATAATGTTTCATATGCAGTTCTCATAATATATTTATGTGCATTGCTGCTCAGTCGTAAAAACTCACAATGCTACATTACAGCAATGAACGTATGTATTAATGCAGCATTAAAAAAATCAGATATTTATAGGATAGAGATGAAGTGAAAAATGGTAAATGTAACAATTTGAATCTAGTAACATTGTTTAATTACTGGTATCTATTAAATATACAAGTGTATGAGACATCTCTCATAAAAAAAAACAATAAAATGATGTTTTGGTATATAATATGGCAAGTGAACAAAATTACAAATAGTATAGTTACTCTTATCTTGCATACACACACAGGGAAAGTAAAAGCAATTGGTATGAATATACAGTTGTGTCCAAAATTATTCAACCCCCACTGAAATTGAGTGTTTTGGCCAGTTTGACATTGCTTTTGATCATTCAGTCATCTTGCTTACATTTACATTAAAGAGGCACTTGTAGGTCAGACAAATATAACATAACAGTTATAATGAAATAACCACAAATGTCTTTTCTGTGCTCACAGCATTATCAGTTTTATTCAACCCCCAAGTGACATTCAATCTTAGTACTTAGTACAGCATCCTTTTACAGTTATAACAGCTTTTAAACGTGAAGCATAGCTTGACACAAGTGTCTTGCAGCGATCTACGGGTATCTTCGCCCATTCTTCATGGGCAAAGGCCTCCAGTTCAGTCACATTCTTAGGCTTGCGCACTGCAACTGCTTTCTTTAAGTCCCACCAGAGGTTCTCAATCGGATTTAAGTCTGGTGACTGCGATGGCCACTCCAAAATGTTCCAGCCTTTCCTCTGCAACCATGCTCTAGTGGACTTGGAGGTATGCTTGGGATCATTGTCCTGTTGAAAGGTCCAACGTCTCCCAAGCCTCAGGTGTGTGACGGACTGCATCACGTTTCCATCCAATATCTCCTGGTACTGAAGAGAATTCATGGTACCTTGCACACGCTGAAGCTTCCCTGTACCTGCAGAAGCAAAACAGCCCCAAAGCATGATTGACCCTCCACCATGCTTCACAGTAGGCAAGGTGTTCTTTTCATCATAGGCCTTGTTCTTCCTCCTCCAAACATAGCGTTGATCCATGGGCCCAAACAGTTCTAATTTTGTTTCATCAGTCCACAGAACACTATCCCACAACTTTTGTGGTTTGTCCACATGGCTTTTGGCATACTGCAGTCGACTCTTCTTATTCTTTGGAGACAGCAAGGGGGTACGCCTGGGAGTTCTGGCACGGAGGCCTTCATTACGCAGTGTGCGTCTTATTGTCTGGGCTGAAACTTCTGTACCCACATCTGACAAATCTTTTCTCAGTTCCTCAGCAGTCACACGGGGACTTCTCTCCACTCTACGCTTCAGGTAGCGCACAGCAGTCGAAGTCAGCATCTTCTTTCTGCCACGACCAGGTAGCGTTTCAACAGTGCCCTTTGCCTTGAATTTGCGAATGATGCTTCCTAAGGTGTCTCTTGGTATGTTTAACATCTTTGCAATCTTCTTATAGCCATTGCCCTTCCTGTGAAGAGAAATCACCTCTTCTCTTGTCTTCCTGGACCATTCTCTTGCCTTCACCATGTTTGTAACCACACCAGTAAATGTCTAGAAGGAGCTGAGTATCACAGTCATTTTAAAGCTGCCTAATTGGTGCTTATTATGCTTGATTGCTGCTCGGTGACATCCACAGGTGTTTTCAATACCTGATGGAAAGCACCTGTATGAACCTCTGTTCTTCAGAGTGGTAGTCTTTAAGGGGTTGAATAATTGTGGCAATGAAGAAACCACATAAGAACCATTTACTACTGTATTACATAAACAATTGATGTCATTTTAGTTGCATTTGGGTAGTTACAACGTCCTTGTAGGATTTGATTCTGAAT